CTCGGCGCTGCGGGGACCAACCCAGCAGCACCCCAGCTGCTCTGTCCCAGGCATCCTGATTCAGCCGCTGCTGAAACTGACCAACCCGGCAGTGCCCCAGCTGCTCTACCACAGGCATCAGCGAGAAAAGCCTGGTCTGCTGGAGGGTGGGGTCTGCTGGGGGGGCAGACCAGGGAGACGCAGAGCAGCTCAGCGGAGGACCCGGGTGGCAGGACCGCGGCGCGTCTCGGTCCCACTGCCCGCGTTTCCCTGGTCTGCTGGGGGGGGGGGGGACCCCGTGGGGGAGGTGGCGGGTAGTGTATCTGGTGCACTGGCTGTTAATGGCTTTCATTTCCACAGGTTTGCACGTTCCTAGAAGGAGCCACCACTGTTTGGATTGACGAGCAGGAGGTCCCATATGCCTTCAAAGACAATGAGTGGGTCGGATATGACGATGTGAGGAGCTTTGAGATCAAGGTGGGTTCTTGCCATTTTCATATGGCCTTCATTAGAGAGTCTTGGAAACAGGAACGTAGAAGTGCCCCTTAATAGATGAGACCAGTGCCCAGACGATGTAAATCTGTGTGGCCCCAAGAAGTCAGGGGAACGATGCCAGTCTACACCAGCTGAGGATGTGGCCCTCTGTTCCCGAGTGGGCAAGGCTGCCAGCTCAGCTCCCTGGGAAGAGGCTTTGCTGCCAACTCTGCAGTATACAGCTAAGATTTACAATGCAGAGCCCGCAGCGCAGGTAACTGCTGAGATTTCAGCTGTTACACGGTTACCCTCTTACACTATTTTTAACATCCCTAGTTCTTAGCAATCCCAAGTGGATCCGCCACACACAAGGATTATCCAGTATATATTTCACTGAAGTCTATTCCATAAGTCTTGCTGCACTAGACACTTATGACAAGTGTGCTGCACCCTGGGGTCTTTTTGTTTATGATTGTGAATGTGTTTGCTTGGGCTTGCTTGGCAGACAGGGTGCGTCCTCTGGAACAATTTCTGGTTAGCTGGTATCAATGGGGACAAACTTAGAGATGGAAAAGACTTCTAGGGGTCATCTGTTCCCTAAGGCAGTGGTTTCAACTTTTTTTTCTCATGACCCAGTTGAAGAAAATAGTTGATGATACGACCCCAGGCCCAGCTTTTGGGCAAGGCGAGTGAGGTGGTTGCCTTGGGCCCCGCGCTGCCTAGCTCCCAGCCTCACCCACCTGGCTGCTCACCCAGTGCCCTGACCACACGGCTGTGTGGCTCAGCCATGCTGCCTTGGGCCCCTCGAAATCTTTGGCTGGGCCTGCATGACCCAACATAATTTGACTGGAGTGTGGGCTCCGGGGTGGGGCTGAGGATGGGAGCTTTTGGCTGTAGGAGGGGGCTTTGGCTTTGGGGGGGAGGTATCGGGGCTGGAGCAGGAGGTGCTTACCTCTAGAAGTTCGCGGTCAGAGGTGCAGTGGGGGGGGGGGGGGGTTAAGGCAGCTTCCTCCTTTTCTGGCACTGCAGACCATGCTGCCCCCAGAAGCAGACAGCAGCAGGTTCTCAGCCAGTGGGAATGCAGAGCCAGTGCTCAGGGCAGGGAGCCCTGTGTGCTCCCCCACCTAGGAGCCAGGCTTTAGTGCTTCCACTGCTCACCTGATCCCCCTGTAGCAACGAGACCCATTGCCCGACATTCCACGGCGCCGTGCTGGGTCACGACCTCTAGTTTGAAAACCCCTGACCTAAGTTACATGACTACATGCCAGATACAAACAACAGACCATGCACATCACTGTCTGTTCTTTTTCTGCAGGCCCAGTTCCTGAAGGAGAACAACTATGGAGGAGCCATGGTTTGGACTCTTGACCTGGATGACTTCTCTGGCTCTTTCTGTGGGGCAGGTGCCAACCCTCTTTTAGGGGCACTGAAGGCAGCCCTTGAAAATGAGAGCCGAGCAAGGACCACAGCAGAGAAGGCAACATCATATTGCTTATCCAAGGACTCGACTCCGTGCCCGTAGACATAAAAGGGAGTTTTTCCATTGACTTCAGTGCATGTTGGATCAAGCCCTAGTTGTAGAAACCAATAATATCTGTAAAAGCGACGAGGAGTCCTGTGGCACCTTATAGACTAACTGAAGTGTAGGAGCATAAGCTTTCGTGGGCAAAGACCCACTTCGTCAGATGCATGTAGTGGAAATTTCCAGAGGCAGGAATAAATATGCAGGCCAGGATCAGGCTGGAGATGACCAGGTGGATCCAATCAAGGAGGATGAGGCCCACTTCTAGCAGCTGATCTGGAGGTGTAAATTCCAAGAGAATAGAAGCTGCTTTTGTAGTTAGCAAGCCATTCACATCTGTGTTTCCCACTCTGCTTTTTTTTTAAAAAAAGATTCTTGCTTCTTAAACCCTTGTACTCTGAGTGGAGCATAGGTCATCTACAAGTCTCCTCCACTTCACTCTGTCTTGAGACAAAACTTCTAGCTGACTCCAAGAGTACCCCGACTATTGTCCTTGGATCTCAGTAGATCTTCTCCATGTTGTCCGAGGTCTTCCTCTTTTCCGTTTTCCTTGCGGGTTCCATGTGAGAGCTTGATGGACTATGAAAAATTCTGACACCTGTAAATAAACCTGGTGCGGCCAAGCTGCCAATGTGTACGCTGATGCCAGGGCCAAGCTAGAATTCTGACTGTGGAGCAGAAGTTACTGCATCCAGTCTGGTTCCGCAGACTCATTCCATCTGTTGTCATAGTCTATGTGTGTGCACCTGCTCATGAAAACACCAGGGATAGTTCTAATGAAACCTTGCCCCATGCTCCTTTATCCCCAAACCATCAAATTCTAGAGAAATTCTAGCCCATATCTCTGGGTTCTGTCTGCAAAATGACCTCTGAATAGTGTATGTATTAAAGAATATCATTAAATTCCTAGCCTCTGAGGAAAGATTAAAGCTACAAGAGAGTGTAATTTTAATTCCGCAAGACCCAACGAAGTATAACACATTGAAATAAAGCTTTCTCCATTGAGAGAGTATCTGAAAGATTTTATGTAGTTGACTTGGTACGTTCACCAGGTGAGTTATTTCTCTATGTCAGTGAAGGCCCTTGGTAATCAGACCTATTTACAAACTTCTAGGTGAATTCCTGTTAACTGTACTGAAGAGCAGCCGTCCCATGATTGTACTGCAGTTGTTGCACATTCGAAAATGCACTGAAGTCAGTTGCTTCTGAATAAATGTATGAAAACAATACAGTGACTGATGCATAATGTGACTTAGTACACACAAACATTATGTCCTCATCCCTTAAGGAATTTAGACAAATTATGCTGCCAAGAAAGACGATATTGTAATCAAAATCTCAGAGGGGTAGCCGTTTTAACATAAAAAACAATGAGTGGTCCTGTAACATCTTAGAGATTTTATATATATATATATTAGTATCATGAGCTTTCAGGGGCACAACCCACTTCCTCAGATGAGTGGAGCATAAGGCACAGAAACCCCAACATTTAAAGCAGCCTCATTTAGCACGGATATTATAATTGACACATGTTTTTTCTCCCCTTCCCCTCTCCCTTCTTTTTCTGCTTTAAATGTTGGGGTTTCTGTTTTTTCTCCCCTTCCCCTCTCCCTTCTTTTTCTGCTTTAAATGTTGGGGTTTCTGTGCCTTTTGCTCCACTCAGCTGAAGAGGTAGGTTGTGCCCATGAAAGTTGGTGATACAATATATCTATTTTTGTTAGTCTCTAAGGTGCCACAGGACTACTTGCTTTTTTTTGTAATAAGAGGAAACACAGTTACGATGAGGACCATTAACAGTTTGCTAATGAAATATTAGCAATTGCCGCTAAAGCATCTGTGTTCAGAGCTATAGCTTTAGAATGATAAGGGATTTCCTTGTATTTCAGTGTCTGCAGAAAGTACCACAGGCCTAGCATGGAAATTATCTACCCATTGCAGGGTTTTATACTTGTCCCTCTAAGCACTTCCATGGAAAATCAGTAGCAATAACAAAGTCTCTGGAACTTCTGCCAATTTTACCTTCCTGGGACCGGATTATTATTTTTATTTTTATCAGTTTTTATTGATTTCTTTTGGGCAAAGGGCAGGAGAGCTTATGGCTAGAAGGGGGGAGGGGGAGATCAGTTTTGGAGGATCATTCTAGTGGTGGAATTACTAGTTTAAAAATGCATTTATTTTTCGAGAGCCTTGCAAGTATGCAAAGGAATGGGAAGAAATCATACAGGAAATGGACAAACACTGCATCTTTAACCCCTCCCTAACTCTCCCTGAAACACTTATAAACACCATGAATTCTGTCTTGTATTGTAGATATGCCCTGGGGCAGCTGGCATTTTAGGGGCCTCCAATATGCAGGACACTGCTAGAGAAAAACCCTTCTATTTTTCATTAACTCTAATCAGATTTTCTCGATCCACAGCCAGTTACCTTCTGGCAGCATCTGCTTTCCATCCCAATCTCTCTGAATGAGCTACAAATGGTATGGCCTGGAACCTCGAAGGCATTTAGGAGCCGTCTCCTACTGATTTCAATCTGTGGAAGGAGGACTCTCAAGTTTGTTAGGTGAACATGACCCCCAGTGGTGGCTGGAAACACAGGCCAGCAATACTGCTTCAGGCACTCCCCAAGCTACAAACATCCGACTCACAAACATCCCGCACACACAAACAAAAGCTCACCTGCAGCCTCAGGAAACAGGCAAGAGGCACAGGTGATGGCAAGGAGGGGCAAATGCTGGCTGCAGGACTCCAGAGTAGCAGGGTGCAGTTGCACAGCCAAAGGTTGGAGAGAAGCAGCGCTTTGAAGGGAAAACTGCCACTTCTCTCCAGCTGCCTACACAGCCACTCTCTGCTCCTCCAGAGCCCTCTGGCCTGCGTTCAGACTGCTCGCCCACTCCTAGTGAGTGGGGTCTGGATACAGCCCAGTGGGGGACAGCCAGGAGAGGGGGCTGGCTACAGGAACTGGTGGACAGCCTGTGGGGGGTAGAAGAGTGGCAGCCGGGGAATGCCCTTTATAATCTCCACCTACCTTCTCATCCTCTTCTAAGCCTGTCTTTCCTCAAGCACCAGCATTCAAGGTTAAATAAAAAACACTATTTCACTATTTTTATTGCAAATATACAATCTTTCAGCTACATTATGAGTTGAAGTAGGCTTTTGTGGGCCAGCCTGGGAACCTAACACCATTCATAACATTGTTTCTATGGGACTATGTGTTCCAAGTTCCAAACAACCGACTTACAAATGAACTTTTGGAACACATCCCGTTCGTAAACTGTGGACTTTCTGAGGCTTTATCCTCCACTACTTTGCTTATTCCTGCACATTCTGATTTGCTAGCATTTTACACCCACCTTGCACTACTGCTAGTTACAGTGCAAGACCCAAGGAAGTAAAGACTCAAACCCACTAGCACCAAAAGCCACATGTCATTTAAACTCAGCCCCTGCACAGTGGCCACATACCCTGACACTAAAGAATGTTCTAAAGATAACACTGTATTTTTTTAATGAAAAGACACTAATCAAGCACTAATGTAAACATTGGCCAGTTCTGCAGAACCAGTGATCCACCCCAATTTTTGGTGGAGCTAAAAACAGAATTGAGACACTTAACTGGACAGGATAAGACAGGCTCTGATGAGAAGAACTATTCAGCTGTAGTATAAGCTCAAGTAGGCCAGTCGATTCCGATATTTCCTGAATTCTTTATCTGTGATCAACTAAAACAGAAACAGATATTGACAGCTGTAACAACTTTTAAAAGTTGAGTTAAAGGACTCTCATTAGCTGCTAGCAGAGGGAGATTGCTAGTCTTTATGGGCTTGTCTAGACTTCGCTGAAGTTTTGAAAGAGGATATGCAAATTCTGTGGGAACTTGCATATCTCCTTCTGATCGATTTCACTTTCGAAAGCTCTGCTTTCGAAAGTGAAAGTAGTTTGGACGCGTTTTCTTTGGCAACCCCCCCTTTTTCGAAAAGCCGTGTAAATCTCATTTTTTGAGGAACAGCAGCTTTTTGAAAAAGGAGGAGGGCTTGCTGATAAAAACCGCGTCGAGACTACTTTCACTTTCGAACGCAGAGCTTTCGAAAGTGAGATTGGACGAAGATATGCATATTCCCGCAGAATTTACATATCCTTTTTTGAAACTTCAGCGTAGTCTACACATAGCCCAAGGTACATCTACACTGCACATTAATTTTGAAATAAGCTATTCTGAAATAGTGATTCCGAAATAACTTATTTCAAAATAGCACATCTACACTACAGGGAAGCCTCAAAATTAATCCGAGGCAGGCTTCCCTAATGCAGATGTGCTATCTTGATTTAGAGCCCCAGGAGGTACTGGGGAAGAATCCTGGAGTACAGGATCTTTCGAAAAAGGTTTTTTTTTCTAAAGAACCGCGTCTAGACCGTGGTTTCACTTTCAAAAAGCCCTTTTTCAAAAGAACGCATGGCCACCATTATGCAAATGAAGCATAGGAAATTCAAATTCCGGCTTCATTTGTAATTTCAATCTCTCTATTTTACATTGCTCTTTCTAAAGAGCGATGTAGACATTCCCTTAGAGTGGCCCTGGTGAGGGACTATTTTGAAAGAGCAGCGGTGTGTCTACACATTTTGAAATAACGGAATGGCTGTGTAGATGCTCACATTGTTATTTCGGAATAACGGCTGTTGTTCTGAAGTAACGCTGCTGTGTAGACGTACCCTATGTGAATTAGCATTAGAGGGATACATGAGATACTGCACAAGCATATTTTATGAGGTTGCTTTTATCCTTAGACTGGAGCTGTCCTGTTTACTGTTTCAGCCCTCTCACCAGACCCTTTCTTCATAAATTAGTCCCTGCATGCTCAACTGCAATTTCATTAACAGTCATTCTTCCTTCCTACTGCTTGCAAGCTCACTGGATTTCTAGGAATTTTCCTCTCTCGATCTATGTGTACAACATGCTGCACTGAAAGAATATTAGTCCCTTTAAGCAACCATACACTTCCCTTTGTCTGATGCCTTGATCACCCGAGTCCCATCTCAAGTGTATAGAATAAGTATGTGGATACATGTATATAAATTCCATACCTCTGTTCTTAGAGTCCTCTTCTCTAGCATTGGTACTAAAGACCAATCTGGAGACCCAAACTTCATAGGCCAAGTGATTTTCTTATGTGGCAGCTTGTCTGCTTTATAGGTTCCAGGTCTGAAGAAAAATGAACACAAAATCTCGCTTCTGCAACTGATTGAGATGTGGAGTGTATACTCGGCTGTTTTGCAAAGTGCCACATTAATCCACTGGGAGATGTGCATGATATAGTCTTTGGGTCAATATACTTGGGGAGCCATTGGGCATGACATTTGGGGCTGTCCCTGGTTACGTCTCTCCTCTGTGTATTTGGTCCCATCCATCACACTGCAAACATGTCAAAAGATGACAAATGGGATATCCCTGCAACACATTCATAGCGGAGGGAGGTTCATGGATGCTGATTTCTAAAGGCATGTATGAAAACATGCCATGTTAAAAGGAGATATGTAAAACTGACAACACAGTCTTTCTTTTTTGCTGTGAATATTTCTTGTCTGAATATGTAAATCAGAGGTGGGGAACCGTTTTTGGGTCGGTGGCTACTGACCCACAGAAAAATCAGTTGGGGGCTGCACACAAACAAGAAGCAAAAAACCAAATACCAACCCTCACAGTTGTGGTCCCCAATTGAGAAGGAGAAGGGCACTCTCCACATTCCCCTTGCACACCAGAGTCTAGGGGAGCCCAGGCTAGTAGATTTTGTGTACTTCTGCTCCAGTGCATCTCCCCAGTGCTGGAGGGGAGTCCTGAGCCTTGGCGGCCAGATCCAGGCAAGCCAGGGGTGGGTGGGGCATGGAGCACATCTGTCCCCTGGGCCTGAGGTTCCCCACCCGATCTAAATTAACAAAGCAATAGAAATCAGACTCTTGCCCTACAGAGTGTGACTACAAACCACAAAAGCTGACTTTGTCCACTAAAATCTATGTGCAATAGCTTTAAAATTGTAATCTTTTTCTGTGCATAGTGTTTCTGTTTCCACAATAATTTGAGGGGATCACCATAACCTTGCTCTTTTTTCCAATCTACTGAGGTAGTTTTTTAATGCTCATGAAAAAGAACAAAAGACAGTAACTGGAGCTTGACGGTGGTGCAATTTCCTCTATCATGCTCAATCAACTATCATGTTTAGCACCCTTATTAATGGAGCCCTGAGCTTATCTTGAGTGGAGAGCCTGTTTCACTGAGTTGTGCCAATAGATTTAGTTGTTTTGTGTGGTGGTTAAATTGAAATTTACGTTCTATTTTATGAAAGCAGGATTTTGGGTCTCATTGTCCACTAGTTCACTCCCAATGTGAGTGCCACTTTAAGGGATCACAATATATCTGGCACGTGTGGACAGTGTTTTTATACACTCCAGGTGAGACTTTCAAAGGTACATAGCACAGGGCAGTTAGAACATGCAGTTGCCTACCTTCCATTTGTACCTCTGCAATCCTCCCCCTTAATGCTTAGGCTGGCTTTTTTACCTTTCTACTAAAGGAGCAAGAAACAGATTTATGGTACCCAGGGAAAAGCTCTCTATCCAGTGCCTTCTGCGGAAATCGTGACGACTTGATGGAAAATGGGGCGTATGCAGGCTGGAACTTTTGATCTTTGCCCCATGATGGCTGATGTGTTCCAGGGCCAGGAGTCACAGTCTATTTATAAGGGAGCAAATTAAAAAAAAAGAAAAAGAAAAAGAAAAAGAAAAAGAAAGGAACTCATTTACATTCTGTCTGCTCTGATTTTGTCAAGGGGTCTTAAAGTGATTGCAAATGTAAATGTACACATACTGCCAATGCAGTGTCAAGTGGTTTGAGTGTAAATGAGAGTCGGGAGCCATATATTTTGGGAATTCTCTAATTTTGTTCTGATTTTGGATTGCTAGGGATGCTCTGGCCATAAAACCACAAACCTTAAAGCCAGGCAGTTTTTTAGAAGGTGTCTATGAAAGTTTCCTACTAATCTTGTGGTAAGGACCGTACTGCTCCTAAAATGATTATCTTCTGGGAGTAATTAAGGGATCTGCAGGTATGTAGGATAGCTGTGTGGAAACCTGCAATAAGCAAGCATCCTGAGTGCTCTTTAAATGGTCCACTCTGAAATGCCCATCACCCTTGTATCTAGACACCATCTGTAATTCATAAACAGTAACATCAGTTTCTAATATACATCCTCTTGGTTGAGGAAGATAAGAACAAAGAACTACTTTAGCAGGTTAAGAAGTGGGTGCGTTGAAAGGGACAGTCATTTTCCTTGTTTTGGTTGCATCATCAGCTGTAGAGATGGGATAGTTGAATGATTTCCCCACAGTTCAGGAAATCGGGGTAATCCATAATGAAATATATATATATGTGACTGACTGATGGAAAAATTCAACAATGAACAAAGAATCAGCTTAAAATCTATCCATTGCTTAATTTTTATTTATTAGGTGGCATTGAAATGGTGCACGAAGCTAGCCTTCCACACACATGTGAATTTCAACCTGAGTCAATAAATAGCAAATTAGCAATCCTTTATAGAGCTGTAACTATTAAAATAAAAAGTATTTTCCTCCCCCAAAATTTCAGAGTAGGACTTCTTTTAGGACTGTGTGATCCATGCACCATATTTCCAAAAGAGCCCAGCATCCAATGTGCACCCCACATGTTCAGCAGTTCTGAAAATTGGACCACTTATGTAGATGCCTAAATGCAAGGAGGCGGCTTTGGAAATTCAGCCCTACATGCTTAATTCTGCCATCACATATCTGCAGCAGCTAGCAACGTGAATGGAAATTGGCCATAGACATCTCAGGCGCTGGCAAGAGAATTACAGTGCGTTCGTTGTTTTAACCGCCCACCGGCACACGCAGCAGCCTTGACACCCAGTAGAGTGTTTTCCTTACCTTGCAGTCTGGTGGAAAACGTGGGGATGTTCTTGCTCCTAGTATATAACCTTTGATGCTTTCTGGTTTATGAGTCAAGGCATATACTATGGTACTCCTCTGTATGTATAAAGCAGAAGCACGCTTTGTGTCAGTTACAATGTCAGTGACATCAGTTTAAGGTGTAATTGATTTGAACAGTTATAGCCTGAATTGTTTGTTGTTAAAGACTCTTAGTTCAAAAAATGGCCTTTTTTGACTTTTACTATTAGTGTGGGGTGGGTATAAAGAGCTGTGAATTCAATTCCCAGCTGTGTCACAGCCCCTGTGTGTAATTCAGCGAAAGTCACTTAATTCTCTCTGTACCTCAGCTGGAAAATGAGGCATAATAATCCCGTCTTTTGTTTCTATTGGGTAACATTTTTAAAAGTATGTTTGACTTTCAGTGTGATTTAGGCTCCTGAAATTACATTTGAAAATGGGACTTAGACTTCTAAGTCACTTAGGTGCTCTTGGAAAAATCCTCCTTCTCTTTAGGGCCAGGACTCTTCCAGGGCGAGGACTATTTCATTAAATATATGCACAATCTCCAGCCCACAAGAGCCTGCTACTATCATCTTCCTACTCTGGGATGGGAGTTCCACTGCAGAACAACTCACCTCTTCACTGTTGTAACTCCCAGGCCCAAGGTGGGGAGACCCTAGGATCGGTACCAGCTTGTTTCCCAGTCTGTCGGGAGCATGGTGAAAGGGGAAAATTTTCCTTGCCTGACATGATCCAAACGAGTTTCGCCTTTGCACAGCTACAGATGCCAGAAACAACAGAGAGGTAGATTAGAAGCACCCACTGGGGGTGCCTAGGCTGGATATGGGCAGAGGAGTCCTCCCAGAGGGTATCCAGATTAGGTGTGGCCAGGGGAGTCCTGCAGGATGTGGCTAGGTTTGATGTGCACACGGGAACCCCAGGAGGTGCCAGGGGAGTTCAGTGAGGGCAGAGGAACTCCTAGGAAGTGCCTGGGTTTGGAGTTGATGGGGAACCCCTGCGAGGTGCTGGAGTGGGTTCTTGGGGGCTACAGAGGAGCCCCCATGGATGCCAGGGTTGGGTGTGGACAGGGGTTCCTCTGGGAGAGGTCTGGGGGGGGGGAGTATGGCACAAAGATGGAAAGCCCTGGGAGGTGCTCAGGCTTGCCATGAACAGAGGAATTGGGGGGTGAAGGTGTACAGGGGGTCTTGGCAAGAGCAGGGGAGCCCCCCAAGAAGTGCTTGGGGGCTACAGAGGAGCCCCCATGGATGCCAGGGTTGGGTGTGGACAGGGGTTCCTCTGGGAGAGGTCTGGGGGGGGGGAGTATGGCACAAAGATGGAAAGCCCTGGGAGGTGCTCAGGCTTGCCATGAACAGAGGAATTGGGGGGTGAAGGTGTACAGGGGGTCTTGGCAAGAGCAGGGGAGCCCCCCAAGAAGTGCTTGGATGGGGGAGGTCTGGGGGAGGCAGGCGGGGCATGGGGAGGGGAGCCCAGTGTGAAGTCCATTCCTGTCTACTCTCTTTTATGTTGTCAGTCATCTCTTCCGTCTACCTCTTCTTCTCTTCCTCTGTACTGGCCCTTGGAGGATGATCTTAGATAGGCCAGGTGATCTAATTGCACGGCTATGCCACTTCAAGTTATGCTTCTTCACAGTTGGCAGGAGGTCTTCATAGGACTGAGCACATGTTGCAGATCTCTTCACTGGTGATGTGGTCGATATAGGTAATGCTGAGGATTTTATGAAACAGCTTGTCTCTGCCTGTATTTTCTGTACAAGTTCTGTTGTGAGAATCCATGTCTCGCATGCAAAAAAATTGAGATGACAAGTCGTGCAGCAGTTTCAGTTTGGATTCCAGGGAGATGTTCCTGTTCCTCCAAATTAGCTTTAGCGTTGCCCTTGCTGCTGCTGTTTGCAGAGTTCTTGCCAGAATTTCTGCCTTTGATTCTTCATCAGTGATGACTACCACCCAAACACATGGCCTATGTCTACAATGGTGGCTTCTTGCACAAGAATATCTTGTGCAAGAATTCTTGTGCAAGAAAACTTCTACACTGCCACGTGCGAGCTGTGCTTTTGCGCAAGAGCTCCTATGGCAGGGTGGACGGTCTCTTGTGCAAGAAAGCTCTTGTGGCCATTTTAGCCATAGGGCTTCCTTACATAAGAAACCCCTGCCGAGCGTCCACACTGTCCTCTTGCACAAGAGCTCCTGTGCAAGAGGGCTTACACCTGTTAGAAAAGAGTGAAACTCTTGCGCAAGGAGCCCTCTCTTACCAGGCCCTACTGTCAATTTCCTGGCGCAAGAGCAGGCGGGGCCGTGTGGACGCTCTGCAGATTCTCGCGCAAGAACGGGGCCATACTGGCGCAAGAAGCCGCGAGTGTAGACGTAGCCTAACTGGCTGGCTGCTCTGACGCCGGCTGGCAGCAAGGCTGGAGATGGTATCCCCTGTCTGCAGCGCGCAGGGTTAGTTAGGCCGATGTTACTTAGCGAAAAGGGACTCAACGGGCCCGCTGACGGGAGGGGTGGCAAAGGAGGTGACTGTGCCGTGGGCCTCGGGATTTCTGGCCGCTGTCACCACTGCTGCAGCAGCAGTTGCGGCCAGACCCACCCCAGGCTCTTTAAATTGCCACGGAGCATTACACGGCGCATGCTGGGTCGTTCTCATGAGTACGGGGACGGGGGGCAGTGTGGCACTGTCTGGGCAGCACTGAGGGCTGGCTGCCCCCAGCCCTGTCCCTTCCAGGAATGTGGAGTCACTCCCCACTGTGCCCAGGAGCCATGACAGTCTGCCAGCCCCCCAACTATCAACAAAGACTCTGTAGCTGTGTCTAGACTGGCAAGTTTTTCCGCAAAATCATCTGATTTTGCAGAAAAACTTGCCAGCTGTCTACACTGGCCGCTTGAATAGCCGCAAGAACACTGACGATCTCATGTAAGATCGTCAGTGTTCTTGCGGAAATACTATGCTGCTCCCGTTTGGGCAAAAGTCTTTTTCCGAAAGACTTTTGCGCAAAAGGGCCAGTGTAGACAGCACAGTACTGTTTTCCGCAAAAAAGCCCCGATCGTGAAAATGGTGATCAGGGCTTTTTTGCGGAAAACCGTGTCTAGATTGGCCACGGACGCTTTTCCGTAAAAAGTGCTTTTGCGGAAAAGCATCCTGCCAATCTAGACGTGCTTTTCCGAAAATGCTTTTAATAGAAAACTTTTCAGTTAAAAGCATTTCCGGAAAATCATGCCAGTGTAGACGTAGCCTGTATGTGCTCCTAAGCCACAGAAAAGTCAGATGAGAAATACCAGCTGGACCTATTCCAGTCAGCATTCCACATGCCTAACCCACTGGCACACACAATGTTGTGCATGCTTTGCAGGTAGACAGTTAGGAGACAGGCATGCTAAAACCCATGCCTGTCATTCCATCCAATATTGCCTCATTGTTTCCTTGTGCTCCCCCATCTGGCTTTGCCTCCCTCTGTCATCTCTTTTATTACATTATCAGCTCTTGGGACAGCAAGAATTGTCATTTAGTTCTGTATTTGTACAGCACCTAGCTCAGCAGAGTTATGCACTGTGCCCAGGGTTTCCAGGTGCTATTACTATTCCAAAAATAACGGTAATAGAATAGCAACCCCTATGGCTGTTTCTATACACCAAAGTAAATTTCAGTTCTTTCAGATTTTCTCCTGTTGTTCACCTTCCCAGAATCATGTTTGCTTTTTATTGGCTCATATTTAGGTTGTAGTCCACTATGGCCCCTAGATCCATTTCTGCAGTACTCCTTCCTAGACGGTCACTTCCCATTCTGTATGTGCAGGGGCGGATAAAGGTCAGGGCGAGCGGGACCCCACGCTTCAAGAAGCCCCGTGCATGAGCATGCGCCGTGGCAAAGGGGGGCCCCGCGAATTTGTGCTGCCTTGGGCCCCACAAAATGGTCATCTGCTCCTGTGTATGTGTATATCATTCTGTCTTTCTAAGCTCCCCAAAATGAGGATAATAAACCTTCCTATAATTTGTCTTGAGTGTTTGTCAGTTTACCTGTATTCTTTTTTGGGGCAGGGACTCTCTCTTATTGTACGGCATCTCTGATCTCAGTTGGCAGTCTTTTAATAAAAAGAATACAATTTCTGTCCCCAGGGGCAAATTCAAAATGCCACATTATCCAAAAAGAAAGCTAAAACAATAAAAAGTGATGTTGAAGTCACTGTCCCTCAAAACAGACAAACACATGAGAGTTTATGCTGCGGACATTTATTTCAGGATTTGTGCGGGTTTGGTGATGTGCATTAAGCGGTGGGGAATTCGGATCGAGTTTATCTGCTTTAAGCTCCTGATTTATGCCCAGTTACAGCAGCTGCAGCTTGAATCAAAGACCAGGCCGGTTTGACAATACTGCTCGTAAGTGTTGCCATTCAGACAGTGCCAGAAAGCATTGCTGTTGGTGGCAACAGGGTAGAGGCCATTGGCTTTACCCGCACAGAACCCACTGCCACCGGAGCTGCTCCCACTTCCAGAGCTGCTCCCACTTCCGGAGCTGCTTCCACTCCCGGAACTTCCGCTACCACTTCCACCGGAACTGGGTGCCTCTGTGATTGGAGCAACGGGCTGAGCAGGAGCAGTGCAGCCTGGAACAGCAAATGATGGCACTTACTATAGCTCTGTCTATAACAATCCATTATTTTATAACATGCCCAGTCGCTTTATTATCTGACTGTGGTAATCGATGCACTGAGTAGAAGCAGGCCAATACCCTGCTGTCTTGGAGAGGTACAAGTCCCCTGAGAGCTGGCTGAGCCTCTTGACTGCATTAAAAATGGGAATAAGAAAGGCCTGATCCAATTCCCACTGAAATCCATGGGAATCTTTTCATGGACTTAATTGGGGTTTGAATCGAGTCATTAGCGAGTACTCCCTTGAAGGATTCACATTCACCTCTGTTGTAAACCCTTTGCAGTCAGTGGAATTACTGGTAAATAAGAGATGAATTGGACCCTGACACTTAAATAATTGTTTCAATTAGAAGGAGATTAATTTCCAAGGGGACCCACTAGGGATGCATCTGCACAGCAGGGCTTAATTCGAAATAAGCTATGCAAATTGCACTACATCAATTGCGTAGCTTGTTTCAAAATTGGGAGTGTCTACATAGCACATATTTAGAAATAGATCATCACTCTTCCTCCAACTTCCCTTATTCCTTGTACAATTAGGGTTACAGGAGTTGGAGTAAGTCCTCCAGCTTGCCAGTATTTCAACATTATTTCAAAATAACTTCTCTGTGTAGACACAAAGTTATTTCGAAATAATGCTAGTTATTTTGAAAGAATGTTGCTGTGTAGATGTACCCTCAGACAGCTGTTAATTTTTTCCAGAGTAGGATGTTTAGAACACACATCTTTAAAAGGGTCTGCCGGATGATAGAGTCATATGAAAACTACCTCCGGCTAGTTTTGTGAGTCCTCTTAGCAAACCAGTTCCTATGTATCCAGCAAATTTGGTCTCTCTGAAAGAGCCATGCTTTGACAGAAAGATGGGACAAGGAGTCAGAAAAAGAGAACTTAATGGGAAAGTCTATTGTGGGCAGGATATAAAGCTGCTTCTCTTGAGTAAAGTGTAGTTCAGCATTCTGTACACCCCATGAGAGCATTCAAATTCCCATCGCTTTCTAAAGAAAGGGAGTTCATTCAGAAAGCCCATTCTGCTTCAGCCACTTACTGGTGCTCTGCAGTCCAAGAGTGGTCTTCAGGGTGTTGATCAAGGGGAATTTGCCCTGGTTGCAGAACGTGCCGGTGAAGTCATCCAGGTCAATAGCCCATACCATAGCCCCACCAAAGTTGTTCTTCATTAGCCACTGAGTCTGTTAATAGACGGGAAAAAAGTTAAGTCAATCCAAAACCTGCAAAAATGGATTCAAGGGACTGCAGAGACGCAGAATGGGATCCCCCTGATTTTGATTGGCCAGAGAGTCCCATCATACCTTGATACTGAAGCTCTTGATATTGTCATATCCCACCCACTCACTGCCTTGGTAGGCATAGGGGACATCCTGTGGCGCATCCCACACTTGAGTGGCTCCATTCTTCAGGAAGGTGCAGATCTAAAAAACAGCCAAGAGTGAAACAGAAACAAAATCTTCCATCATTGCTGTGCACAAGAATTAGAAAGGAAGAGCAACCGTGTAGCCAAATGGACAGAAAACCGCACAGCCGTTTTGAAGCCACACCTGTATAAAGTAGATTCTCTTGTTTTCATCTCCTACTTCATTGGGGACCTTCTGGGCTTCTATGCAATATTCTCTGTCTAATACTTAGTAAATAGCTACCATCGTTTTATAGTCAGTCACTAGAAGCTAAGCTAAGACATTTAAATTCATGTTTCACACTCTGCTTGCCAGTGCCGGCTTTAGGATGTGTGGGGCCCAATTCGAACAGTTTCGACAGGGCCCTGACAACCAGGATTTTTTGTTGAGCAAAACAAAACGAAACAACAATCAGCACACAAACAAAGAGTCACAGCCCCTTTAAATCCCCAGCTACAGGGCAGAGTCCTGCCTTCTTGCCAAACCCTGGGTCTGACTCCCTCTCCTGCGGCGCAGGGAAGCCGCTGTGCTTCTCTTCTGGGGCCGACGGGGCACGCCAGCACACTTCCGGCTTTAGTGTGCGGGGCCCGATTCGGGGGCATCGGGTGAATCGGCCTAACACCGGCCCTGCTGCTTGCAAAGGTGTAGTGTGTATGTATATAGTGTCATGAGCTTTCGTGGGCAAAACCTCTTCCTCAGATGGGATGATCGACCCCTCTGAGACTTTTAGACATGCAAGGAACTGCATTCAGTGCCTCAAAATCATCCCATCTGATGAAGTGGGTTTTGCCCACAAAAGCTTATGCTCTAATACATCTGTTAGTCTATAAGGTGCAACAAGGCTCCTTGTCACAATAGTAGTTTTGAATGTTAATGAATACCTCATCAATCACCTTAGTGGATTAACTCTTTTTTCCTCTTCTCTCAGAGGATAGCTGTGTTAATCTGTAACTTTAAAAACAATAAGTAGTCCTATGACACCTTAGAAACTAACAAATATATATGTAGAAGCGACAAAGAGCCTTTCTCTGTATACTCAGTTACCATTATTCCGCAGGAATCATTTATACTTTGTTTTATATGCACTGTGATGGCCCGAGGTTGTTTGAACAAGCAGATATTTTTGTGTGCGTAGGCAACTACACAGCACACATACCTCATAGTAAGCCCAGAACCCAGACTGTCTTGTGTACGGCCCAGCGGGGCCGGGGCCGGAGGTGGGCGCGCCGATGGCAGTGTTGGATGGGTTGCTCAGGATGAAGGTGTGTCCGTAGGTTGGGAATCCAACAATGAGCTTCTCAGCCGGAGCCCCGTTGTTCAACCAGTAATTCATGGCATAGGCCTGTAAAAACAGTCGGTGAGTTGCAGTCTCGGGATCACAAGTAGCGGCAATTCTTTTATCCCGGCATTTGTAAAGGATCAACTCCATGCTATTCATTTCTTATCAGAAACCTTTGGATCCATTTAATTAAAACGCTGGGTCTGGGGATTGGTTTGGTTAGGCCATTGGGAGATCTTGGGCAAGAGATACTTACAACATTTAGATCGGCATTGCTGCCGGTGTCAGTGGGGCTTTGGTACAGGGGGCTGTTCTCTCCAGTGTATCCTTCCCAAGAGCCATGGAGGTCATAGGTCATCACATGGATGTAGTCCAGATACCTGGGGTGATAAAATTGCCTTCATTGTTGTCTTCATCTCTGAATGGTTCATTTTCTTAACAGCTGTGGCATTCAGGGCCACTCTGATGGGAGCGCGGGGCCTGGGGTAACTCCCCTGTTCCCAGTGTCCTAGGTATGGGGCAGCCCCCCCCCGTTGCAAGCTCCGCCCCATCCCCAAGCTCCACCCCCTTGTCCCCTCTCTTAAGCAATGTGGCCCAGGGATAAGGGGACCTGGTGCGGCAGCAGCAGGGCTCACCACCTCCCCCCACTCACCACATGGGTGGCGGGAGCTGGAGCAGCCCAGCAGCCTGCACCACGCTGCCGCCCCACCCCCCAGAACA